AAAAAAAAAAGTACTAATGTATTATTATATTATTTATCCCGATTTCCAATATTCTCTTTGATTTCCTTCAACCTTAGTTAGGTCAATTGCCAAATATTGATTATTGTACACACACTCATTACTTTCAAAATTTTTATGTATATAATTTGGATTAGTTAACCAATTTAATTCAATCAAACATTAATCCATCAATATCCTCATCAGCTAAACAATCTCTACACAGGAGTCGAGAGCGTGGAGCCCGAACTCAAGAGCTCGCAAGTCAAAGTGAAGGGCACAATAGAACCCGAGAAGCTCGTCGACCACGTCTACAAGCGGACGGGGAAACATGCGACAGTCGTAAAAGTCGAGCCCGAGAAGAAGAAAGAAGATGAGAAGCCCAAGGAAGGGAAAGAGGACAAGAAGTCCGAAGAGGGCGAAAAGGGCAAGAAGGAGGCCGAGAAGGAGGCCGCCAAGACGGCCGGAGGAGGTGGCGGCGAACAGCTGTCTCCGGTGGAGGCTGAGGAGGACTCGAAGCTTGAACTAAGGAAGAATGAGTCGAACTATTGCTACCCACAACAGCAAAATCACCAGTTCTACCCACAGTTTTACCCACCACAGAGGTTTGTGCAGGAAACCTATTCATACCCACCACAGATGTTTAGTGATGAGAATCCCAATGCGTGTACCGTTATGTAATTCAAATGTTTGGGGGTATGGTGAACTGAACCATGCTACTTTTCTTTTTTCTTTGGATTTTGCTCCATGGACATGGTGGTGTGGATCTACAGAGAGGAGGCAGACTTACATGTGGCCCTGTCTGGAGGGTTTTTAAGTATAAAATCTACAGGGGGAGTGCTGTAGAGTTTTGTGAAATGTGATACTATTGTACTTTTTTTCTGTTCTTTATTGTTTAGTTTTTCTTTTATTATGATGTTTGTCACATACCCATGAATAATATACTATAATGTAGTGAAGTACTTGTTGGTTGTTCATTTAGGAAGTGAAGTACTTGTTGGTTGTTCAATTAGGAAGATGCTACGGTCTTATTACGGAACTATTCCGTCGGATTTGTAATCGTTAGATCGACTATTTATTATTGGTTACATGGTGTGATCTAACGGTACAAACTTCGACGGAATGATTCTGTAACTGGACTTTCATTTTACGATTATTTATCTTGAAGTGTTACTTTGGTCTAGTAAAAACTTTGTCGGTCAAGTACTTGGAAAGTTGAATTTGGTGGTTATTTGAATAAAAGTTTTGGAAAATTCTTAAGTGCCGTTGTGCATTTTAGCGGAACCAATAATCACTTGCCACATCATTTTAGTTTGGTAGGCCTTTACCACATCTAAAGGTCTCTATTAATTTTACAAGATCTAATGGATGAGATTAAATTAACGGAATGGTGCCTGCACGGCACCGTAGCCAGCCCCAAAAGTTTTATGTAGCTATTTACGTCAACCCAAAATAATAGTTGTAAAACTATTTTTATAAAAAAAAATATATATATATAAATGAAGTTTGGCATATGCGATATGTAATGATGCTAATTGAAATAGGGTGGGCAAGGATCTTTTTTCGGGGGAACTATGAAAGTGAGATCAAAATTTGGTACGATCTTTGACATTGAAGAATAATTATTAATCTAGAAAATCTTCAACGGCGGTCATTTATAATTTAGACCATACTTTTGAATACATCCATTAATAATTTAATAACCAAATTTCAAATAATCACACAAAGTCAACAAATACTGGAACGTTAGCCAAAAGGCACAACTTTGGGTATTGGTGAGTTGGAACTTAATATGTACTCCCTCCTATTTTTTTTAAATGTCATTCTAGCTTTTTCAACTATTTGCTAAATAAATGTCGATTTGAATTTTTTGTGCATATTTTTCCATTATTACCTTCATTTAGCCAATAAATACATTACGTCTTTTCATATTCATTCTTCATTTTTTTTTTCAAAACATTCATCTCTATTTTCATTAAATAAGATTATTATTGACAAAAAAAAATTATTCTTAATTAGTGTGCAACTTCTGAAAACGACATATATTAAAAATAAGAGGTAGTATATATATCTATATATATATATATATATAT